GAGGCAAGTAGCATGCTTTATTACTAGTCCTCTGGAATTATGGGTGGTCATTGCATTAATAAGAGTACTTAGGTCTATTGTTATTCTCATATGTAATAACATAAGTTTATTGAATGCCCATTGGGAAGAAAAAATATCCAGTGCTTTTTCTCTTAAAAAATACTGGTTATCAGGTGAAATTTGTACACCTACCTCCAGGGAAGCTTCCAATTTTACTACAGTGTCTTATATTACCAACTTACTTAGATTGTAAGCTTTATGAAGATACGGAGCTGTCTTTCTCAGTATAACACCTAGCACAGTCATAACCAAGGAGAAACTTGATAAATGTTTTTTGATGACAATAACATAGAAGGAAGGAACTAATAGTATCAGTTACACTTCAAAGATGAAAAAGGCAGAAGTATATTCCCAACCTAATTTGTGGGTTCAGTACAATGCTAATCAAAATATCAATAGGTTATTTCATAAAATTGGATTAAAAGAATAGCAAAATGTATATAGGAAGAAAAGACTGGCAAAAATCAAGAGGAGCCATAAAAAAAGGAAGACTGGTGAAGGGAATTAGTGTTGCCAGCTCACAAAATGTATTACAAAACCATAATTATTTCTTTTTTTTAAATGTTTGGCACTCAAAAAGAAAATTGAATTAGATCAGTAGAGAAACCAGAAATAGCATCTGAAGTGCATAAGAAGTTAATGTTTGATAAAGACATGCTTTAAAAAACATTAGTGAAGGAAATTACTATTTATGAAAAACTTCTGGGGAAAATGGCAATATGGTTAAAATGGGCTTTAATAGATACTTCATGCCCTAAACACTAACTGAATTTGTTACATAATATCTATTTTTTAAACTCCCCCCAAAATAGAGAAATCAAAAGACATTGATCAAAATTGAAAAGATAATTAAGAGGTAGCTAGATGGCTCCAAGAATAGAGCAGTGGGCCTGGAGTCCGGAAGACCTGAGTTCAGATCTGGCCTCAGACACTTACTGTGTGACTCTGAGCAAGTCACTTAGCCACTGTCTGCCTCAGTTTCCTTATCTGTGAAATGGGGATAATACTACTACTACTACTACTACTACTACTACCTACCTACCTGGGTTGTTGTGAGGATAAAAAGATGTCATATTTGTAAAGTACTTTGCAAACCTTAAAGCATCACATAAGTGCTGTCTTTTATTATTATTATTATTATTATTATTATGAAGTTTGCATATTATTGAAGTTTATTTCTTTAAGTGGCAAAGCATTTAATGTAATTTTGATGGAAATGCTTCTAAAATTGCTTGTACAATCTCCTCAGGGTCATCATTATGAATATCCATTATTGTATAGCATCGTTATTTTTTAAAATTATTAGTAAAGGAACTGGAACTACAACTGAGGCCTCCTGACTCCTAGGGCAAAAGCCTTTTCATTTAGATTAAACTGTTTTCAGTAAAGAGAGTCTGATCCAATATGTCACTATTTCCCATGGTAGAACTATCTCTTTGTTGGATGATCAGCAAGGAAGATGATATTCCTACTGCACTCTAGCCTCATCAGATCACATCTAGAGTATTATGATCAGTTTTTCAATGTCTTTTTTACATTTAGCATTTTATTACATTACGTTACATGTAAAAACAATTTTTAACATTTGTTTTTAAAACTCTGAGTTCCAAAGTCTCTCCCTTCCTCCCTCCCCACCTCCCACCCATTGAGAAGGCAAGCAATTCGATATAGGTTATACATGTGTAGTCATGCAAAACAGATCCATAATAGTCATGTTGTGAAAGAAAACATAGATAAAAAAAACCTCAAGAAAAATAAAGTAAAAAAAAAAGTATGTTTCATTCTGTAGTCAGACACCATTAGTTCTTTCTCTAGGTATGGATAGCATTTTCATAAGTCCTTCAAAGTTGGCTTGGATTGTTGTATTGCTGAGAGTAGCTAAGTCATTCACAGATGATCATCTTACAATATTGCTGTTACTTTGTACACAGTCCATTCCACTTTGCATCAGTTCATGCAAGTCTTCACAGGTTTTTCTGAGGGCACACTGCTCATCACTTATAATACAATACTATCCCATCTATTATGTTCAGCTTAGGGAGCCATGCTTGGGGAAGGATGTTAAAAAACTAGGGCATGTAGCAAAGGGCAGTAAGGATGGTAGAGGACTTCAGTGTCATGCAATATGGGATTCAGATCAAGAAAACGGGGTGCTTAGCATGGAGAAAAGAAGACTTAATGGTTGTATGAAAGCAGTTTTCAATTATTTGAAAGGTTGTCATGTGAAAAAGGAATTTGACCTTGCTCTGCTTGATCCTAAATTTAGGGCAGAACTAGGAACAATAAATTGAGCTTCCACAGAGTCTGATTCCAACTCCATGTAAGGAATGACTTCCTAACAATTAGATATCCAGAAGGCAGCCAATGGAACTTTGGAGGGGAAGCAAAGATATGACAAATTCTAGTGACTGCAGTCAACATTGGAAATGTCCATTCCACATGGCAAAAGGAAAAAGCCATATCAGAGACTAGTTGAAGGGCACTTTATGGGACATGTGAATACTTGAAGGAGAATGACTGTGCAGCCTCCATTTAAGTAGATGCTAATCGTTCCCCAGAATTCAAAACTGCCAAGTCCTATTAGGCTGGGAAGGAAGGGGGAAGGGAGAGAATATCTATTTAATTCAGACATTGCGGTATATGTTTATAACGTGTAACACAAAACAGAGGGCAGATTTTTTTTTTTACAAAGAAGACAGTGGAAATGAGCATTAGAAAGCAATCGAAACATGGTACGTGTATTAGTGAAAGAAATATTACAGGACATGAATTTATAATGGCATGGCTGAATCAATTTGATACAATTTGTAATAGTAACACTCTCCTTTCCCCTAAAAAAGGAAACAACAACATGCATACTATATCTAATATCTATCCTAATGTAGCAGTGTGGCTTTTTCTGATATTGGAAACAGAGTAGGTGCTCATTGACTGGGAAATGGGTGAACAAAATATGGCATAATAACCTAACAGAATATTATTGTGCAGTACAAAATGACACGGGCAGCTGGATGGCACAATGGATAGAGTGCTCATCTTTGTGAGTTCAAATCCCTCCTCAGACACTAGCTGTATGACCCTGGGCAAGTCATTTAATCCTGTTTGCCTCAGTTTCCTCATCAGTAAAATGAGCTGGAGAAGAAAATGGCAAACCACTTCAGTATCTTTGCTAAGAAAACACCAAGTGGCTCATAAAGAGTCAGACATGACTGAAAAATGACTGAGCAAAATGAAATGACACATACGAGAAATTCAGGAGATGCTGGAAGATTGTGTCAACTGCTGCAAAGTAAGATAAGCTGAACCAGATGAACAATCTACATGCTACGACCTCAATAAAATAAATGAAAAGCTCACCCAAAGAAGCCCAACTCTAAGTAGTTGAAAAACCAATAATGTTCCTGGAGAACAGATAATGAAGTATGCTTCCCTCTTCTTGGCAGGGAAGTTGATAACTACAGAGGTATAGTGGTGTGTGCATAGCCAAGTCACTGTACTAGATGTTTTTTTGCTTCACTTCTTTGTTAAAAGGAAAGGGTGACAGACAGAAAAGGAAGGAGGAGAGTATTTCCAGAAAATACTGATAGAAAAACAAAAGGCATTGATAAAAACTAACTTTAAAAAATAAAGCATCAGTATGATTTAGAAAAAAGAACATTGGATTTATAGCCATAGGATGACAGATTTAAAGGCTAGAGGGAAGGGAATCTCAAAGTAACCTTTTCTTTCTTTCTTTTTTTTTTGAGAGGCAATTGGGGTTAAGTGACTTGCCCAGAGTCATACAGCTAATAAGTGTCAAGTGTCTGAGGCCACATTTGAACTCAGGTCCTCCTGACTCCAAGGCCGTAGCTCTATCTACTGCACCATCTAGCTGCCCCTTTTTCTTTTTTGAATAGACAAGGAAATGATAAATGTTGGAGAAGATGTGGCAAAATTGGAACACTAACGCATTGTTGGTAGAGTTGTGAACTGATCCAACCAATCTAGAGAGCAATTTGGAACTATTCCCAAAGGTCTATAAAAGTGTGCATACCCTTTGACCTAGCAATACCACTTCTAGGTCTGTATCCCAAAGAGATCATAAAAACAGGAAAAGGACCCACATGTACAAAAATATTTATAGCAGCTCTTTTTGTGGTAGTCAAGAACTGGAAATTGAAGGGATGCCTATCAATTGTGGAATAGTTGAACAAGCTGTGGTATGTAAATGTAATGGAATACTATTGTGCTGTAGAAATGATGAGCAGGAAGACTTCAGAAAAACCTGGGAAAACTTAGATAAACTGATGCTGAGTAAAGTGAGTAGAACCAGGAGAACATTGTACACAGCCACACTGTGTGATGACTGACTTTGATAGATTTAGCTCTTCTCAGCAATGCAAAGATCTAAGACAACTCCAAAAGACTCAAGATGGAAAAAGCTATCCACATCCAAGAAAGAACTACGGAGTCTGAATACAGATGGAAGCATACTATTTGCTCTCCTTTTTTGTTGTTGTTGTTGTTGTTTTGATTCTTTTTTCTCGTGGTTCCTCCCACTGGTTCTAATTCTTCTTTACATCATGACTAATGTGAAAAAATGCTTAATGTGAATATATAAGTAAAGCCTATATCAGATTGCATGCTATCTTGGGGAGGGGGGAGGAAAAGAAGGGGGAGAACATTTGAAACTCAAAATCTTATGGAAGTGAATGTTGAAAACTAAAAATTAATAAATCAATTGTTTAATTAAAATTTTTTTAAAAAATAAATAAGAAAACTAAGAGACTAGATTGTCCAAGGTACAGGTAGCAGACAGTGCCTTTGCCTCCACATCTCCTGACATGAGCACGAAGTCTCTTTCCAATACTGGAAAGTTCCCTTTTCTGTACAAGGAAATTTAAATTTTAATATCCTAAAATAGATAAGAATGAACAATTTTTTATTTTGCTCTTTTTCAGGTACGCAAAATTGGAGGGAAATGTGGTAAACACTGACACATATGCCAGGAACTGAGTTGTTCGCCGTCGGGTCGTTGTTGTTCAGTCGTGTCCCACTCTTGGTGACCCCATTTGGAGTTTTCTTGGCAAAGATGCTGGAGTGGTTTGTCATTTTCTTCTCCAGCTAATTTTACAGATGAGCAACTGAGATAAACAGGGTTAAGTGACTTGCCCAGGGTCATACAGCTCATAAGTGTCTGAGGCCACATTTGAACTCAGGTCCTTCGGACTCCAGGCCCAGCACTGTGGCACCCTAGCTGCCTTCATTATCAAAGTAACTTTCAAATTTCAACTAAAGCAATATTGTACAGCAAGGAGAGAATACATCCATAAGTAAAGTATTCTTTATATGCTGAAGGAATGTTGCTGCAAAGATGGCACCAAATGATGTTAAAGTGCCTGAAAAAATAAATAGCCTAGACCTTAAGGAGATCAGTGACAGAAATGCCCTACTTTTACCAAAATATGCACAGCCTATTTTGTTGTAGCAAATACCTGGAAACAAAATTAGGTGTCTATCTACTGGAAAATAGACAAATTTATAATGTCTGATCATAATGGAATATTATTACTCTTTAATAAATGACAAATATGAGGAATTCAGATATAATAGGGGGAGGGTGTGTGTATATATGTGTGTGTCTGTGTGTCTGTGTGTGTGTGTGTGTGTGTGTGTGTGTGTGTGTGTGTGTGTAGAGGGAGCAGTCCTTGGGGCATGCACAGATAATCCCAGCCTGGTCTCAGTCCAGTTATGTAGAAACTTGGGGCCTGCTTCTTTCCTTAAATGAAGCTACACTGTGTGATAAAGAAAAGTCTTCTGATTGACTGTGGAACAAGAACTGATGATTCAGGGGTTGCTGAGCAGGAAATGAGTAGCTTTAAGAAAGGTATGACTGGACCCTTTACTCTCTTTTGTTTGTGGCTTTCACTTCAATTTGCAAGACTATTTAGTTCTAGTTTAGAGTCTGGTGGGAAAGGAACCATAACTTTATCTCCCACAAACTTTGGTGTTTGTGAGCACATGGCCGCCTTTGTTTCTTTGTCTTTATTTTTCTCAGAACTCACTGTTCTGACATGGAAATGTGTGTCCAAGTGACCTTGTGAGTTTGGAAGATCCTGAGGTCCCGTCAAAGATCCTACAAGTAATTGAAGCTAAATGGTGACAGAAGCAGAGGCCACCACAGTGGCCAGAGGTAGTAGAAGTTGAGGGAGAGAGAGAGAGAGAGAGAGAGAGAGAGAGAGAGAGAGAGAGAGAGAGAGAGAGAGAGAGAGAGAGAGAGAGAATACCTATTAAGTGCTTACTATGTGACAGGCATTGAGCTAAGCTGTAGGGATGCATATAAAAACAAACAAAACAGTACCTTCCCTCAATTACATAATTACATTCTGGAAGTAGAAGACAGGACATAAAGGGATGTTGGAAAGCTGGGTGCATTAAGGGGACTGCAGCAAATGGCATGGTAGCCTGGTTCTTGACCAGAAAGGCCAAAGGCTCACTTGGAAGAGCCAGGGGAACTAGGAGTGGTGTCTTGTGTCTGGTAAGGTGGAGAGTACTAGAGAGCGAGGCTATGATGAAGAGACAATATAGGAAATGACATGATGGTCTGGTTCCTGGCTAAACAAAGCAAAAGGCTCATCTTTCAGAATGGGGATGAGGGAGAGGAGTAGAGGAAGATAATCATCTGTGGACATCAGCAGCTTCAGGGAGCATGACCCCTTATGATAGTTTCTCTGTCCACTGTGTGGTTTCTAGAAGACGCCGATCCTTGGAGCCCAGTAGAGAGCTTGACTAAAGGGAAACTTTAGTAGGACTGCATGAAGGGAGAAAATGACTTCTGGAATGATGAGTGGGAGGTACTCATTTGCCATGTGTCTTCCTCACTACCCTTGTATCCTTAAGACTGAGAACACTCTCCCCGTGGACTTTGTGTAAGGGAAGAGTGTATCTTAGATTTGGGGTAATGTTTGGACCAATTGTTCTTATTATATCTGATAGGAGGAGTACCAGGAAAGGGGGATGAGTGATATTGTGGACATCTGTCTTCCTTCTAGCGAGAGAACCATCTAGGTTACATCACCCTGAACTCAGCTCTGGTCTTGAACTCTATGTAGTAGTGATTATCTTGTAGAAAGAGTACTGGATGGAGAGTTAGGAATTACAGTTTCTCATCCTGCCTCTGTTACTAATTAACTGTGGTCCTTTGGGCAATCCACTTTCCCTATCTGGGTCTCAGTTTGCTCTTCTGTAAAATGAAGAGATTGACCTTGACAATCTTTTCATTCTCTACTAGCTTTAATATTATGTGATGCTATACTTATCTAAGACTCACCCATTAGGTCACTAACTGTGGCAGAATCATGAGAGTGCATCACAGTCAAGCTGACCCCTTTATTTTTCTCCCATTAGTTCTTAAGTAAAAGTCAAATCTCACCCCATATGTAACAAAATATTTATAGTAGCAATTTTTGTAGAAGAAAAAGAAGAACAAAGTAGGTAACCATTGATTAGAGTACATTTGAACAAACTGGGGCTATGTCAATATAATGGGATATCATTGTTCCATAAGAAATGATCGAGGAATTCAGAGGAATATGTATGAATGCTTACAGAATGAAGTGAACAGAACTCAGAAAACAACATACACAGTGATGACCCTAATGTATACCAAAAAGAGCAATAAAACATAAACAACCTCTGAATAATATTAATGACTAAATTTGGTTCCAGAAAACATAAGAAAATATACCCCTCTGCCTTTGGTAGAGAGGCAGGGGGCAATGGGTGACAGATATTGCATGCACTCTCAGAAAGGTCACTTTGTCAATTGGCTTTGCTTGGCTGTTTTTCATTGTTACAAAGGAGGCATTATTGGATGGTGGTTTCCAAGCTATATTTGGAAATGACTGCTATGTAAAAACAAAAGGTATCAATAAAACAAATATGGGGTGGCCCAAAAATCTTAGTGCAGTTTTAAGCTGTAACCCATGTAAACTTTAAGTTATTACAGCTTAAAACTGCACTAAAACTTTTGGGACACCATAGAGTGTGTGTGTGTGTGTGTGTGTGTGTGTGTGTGTGTGTGTGTGTGTGTGTCTGTGTGTAGTGAGTTGTCAGATGGCTCAGTCTTAGGCTAAAGTCTCTGATCTTTGCCGGGTTGTAGATAATTGATGAATTTCCCGGAGCTCTACCAAAACAATTCCATCTTCTAAGGCCTACCATTCCCTAATATGCCAGTGAGAGAGACTAAAGGTGTCCCAAAATAAGCCTCCTCTGCAGAAAACATCAAGGCCCAGACCACCGTGTCCTGAACCTGTAATCCAAGTTCTTGATCCTGGACAAGGCACATTTTTTTTAAAAAAAGCATACTAAGGAAAGAAAAATCAGGTCAACAGCTGCAGAAACAGTGCCCTTAGAATCTTGTGGTCTAGCCAGACAATTTCATTGGAGTTTAATTCAGAGAACTGAGAAGTGTGTTATTTTTGAAAAAGTAAAGGTGCCCCATAAAACTAATGGAATGATTGAAAAGTGATCCTGGAAATTAAGTCCAATATTCCACATAGAAAAACATTGGACTGAAATCTGCAGATCACACAAACCAGAGATTAAGGCAGATGACAATCAAGATTTAGAGGAAGTTTGATAGTTTGGATTTGAAGGTTGGAAACCAGGCCATAAAATTTCTCCCCTAAAGATTGTATTGATATCTTTTCCTTTTATATCACATTGAGTTCTGTATTTATTTCTCTCCCTCTCCTGCCCAATGAGCCATTCTTTGTAACAAAGTTAAGTAGCAAAAATAAAACACATTAACCTCATCTGATTGTACATGTACTATTCCACACTCATAGGCCCCAACTCTGAAATGAAGAGAGGTGTAACGCCATAACATTTTTAAAAGAATAAGCATGCAGTCCTGCATTTGGTTTCAAAAAAATTAATTGAACAAGTACAAGATGAAGGAGAACTAGCTAACAGCAGTTTGTAGTGGGGGAAATTCTCAGGCTTTTAGTTAACCAAGCGCCCCAAATGAGTCAACAGTATGACAAATCTCCTTTACAAATTAATGCAAATTTAGGCAACACTAAGAGTTTAGTATCCAGATCAAGGAAGGAAATAGTCCCAATGTTCCATGCACCAGCCAGACCACTTCTAGAGTATTAGGTTCATCTTTAAGTGCCTCTGTTTAATGCCATGTTGATACACCAGAGAACATTTAAAGAAAAGCAACCTGGATGGCAAAGGATATTTAGAATTGTGTGATAGGAGGAAGAGGTAAAAATTTTTAAAAAGTGATTTGAAATGATATCAACCCAACTGAACCTTTTACATATGCATGAAAGAAAACTGTTTTTCTCTTATTGAATTTCAAGAATTGGAGGTATTTTTAAGTCCTTCTGGAAGAAAAGTCAGTGATTTTGAGATTTTAAAAAGCCTTTCAAATAGAGAAAAACAATATATTCCTTTCTTTTTTTACAAAAAGTAAAAGCTTATTTATTTTGCATATATGTATTTTACTTTACATATATGTATACATTTATATGTATAGGAGCATGTATATATACATGTATATATGTACACATATATACATATACACAAACATCTATAACAAGAAAACAGACTTTTAGGTTGATGAAAGAGAATGGTTAAGAGGAGAATATAATAATCATTTTCAAATATTTGAAAAGCTGCCATGAAAGAGAGATTAGATAAATTTTGTGTAATTCTAGACAGCAGAACTAGGGCGGAGAGGTGGCGGACCCAGGAAGGTAGATTTAGACTCAATGAACAAAAGAACTTGCTAACAATGAGCAATTGGGTTGATTGCCTCAAGAGTAGTGAGCTCCCTATCACTGGAAGTGTTCAAGCAAAGGCTACATTGGCAATCTGTCAGGATTATTACAACTAGGAAGTTGGAATAGTTGATCTCTAAAGATCTTCCAACTATAAGATTCTATGGAATTAGGGCAAGGATTGGTACTGTATAATGCTCTCCACCTTGTAGTTTTAGTGAGCATAAAATAACGATGACTCATGATGAAATTCTGAGTAGAAGAGGCAGTCAAATCACAATGAATA